TGTATAGCCTCTGCAAATTATAAGTTAGTCTCTTTATGCTGAACCTAACTAATCTTTCGTCGCGTCATTTTGTATTTCCTCCAGCTGACCTGTTTGCGCGCAGGGAAGTGCTGTTCTCGTGTTGAATTGTTGTAATAATAACTGTGAACTTCCTTTCCATGAGCGATATGACTGATATAATCCAGCGACGTTTGTGACAGATAACCTTGTTTCATTGAGGAAACATGTGTCCTGATGATACTCAATAGTATTAAAACATTGACAGATTGACGTAAATGATTGCGGCTGATGTCCTGGTCACCTAGTTTCAACTTCTTTAAACTAACCAAAAATATCTTATCGATCAGATTATACATACTATATATATATATATATATATATATATATATATATATATATATATATATATATATATATATATAAATGATTGCTGAATGACAGATTCTAATCTCCCTCTCTCGCTCTCTCTCTCTCTCTCTCTCTCTCTCTCTCGCTCTCTCTCTCTCTCTCTCTCTCTCTCTCTCTCTCTCTCTCTCTCTCTCTCTCTCTCTCTCTCTCTATATATATATAGATATAGATATAGATATAGATATAGATATAGATATAGATATAGATATAGATATAGATATAGATATAGATATAGATATAGATATAGATATATATATATATATATATATATATATATATATATATATATATAACATATATTACCGTCGCAGACGCAACTTAACATTACCGAAATCTGGGGATCCGGGAAAAATAGGGTTGTCAGATATTATGATAGGCTCGGTCAATCTTATCGGCCCCTCCCCAAACCGATTTCAGAAAGTGATGCCTTGCACCCAACTCAAAGATTCCCGCAAAGCTCCTGTTTCCTGTGTGCTTGGAGCGGAATGTCATTCTTGCAAAATATCTTACGGGCCGATGCGAAACAAAACTAACCTTGGCATCAGTAACGCAGATATCGGTGGCCGAGATCCGAGTGAGATCACGATTTGGGTGTGGATTGGTCAACCCTGTCGGCTGAGCACCCCAGCCCACTTTAAAAAGTGTCTCCTCTGCCGACGCTGAAGCATGTGATAGCTTTGCAAGGCAATGAGCCTTCGGGTACCTGATTCCCGAAATAAGGCGACTGAAAGCACTCACATTTTCCAAAGTGTCATAATTTAGGGCTGCTAGCACTGCAATGCATGCATACAATGTTTTTTCTTCGGACGTTTTTGAACCCCACGTGTGGGCATGATACTTTTATGATATACTTTATGATACACTAATGACACTTTGGCCACGCCAAGTAGCACTCCTTAACTGAAAGCCTCTGCTTTTATTTTTAAGCAAACTTTCAAACCTCGGCGGCCCTCTTCAAGCATTCTGCGGAGGGGGGTCTGAGGCATTCTAGCTGCCCTACTGCTCCTTACACCGCCAGCATGAAAGGATAGGAGCAGTGATATACTCTGCTCGAATGCCCTATTTAGCTCCATAATCACACTATCGAACAGCGTTCACTTGCGGAAGCTACACACACCAGTGGTGAGCTGGAATTACTGGGCTTCCCTCGGCGCGGTCCGAGCGGGGCTTTGGAACGGCTGGCACGAGAAGCGGCACATCTCTCTGGCAACACAATGCTGCAGTGGGCTCAAGGCCACGTTTGCACCATCTCTGGGTCGAGTGGCTCCTGAACTGAAGGGTCACGTGACGGAGATGGATTTTTCTCCAGTCATTCACGCGCGGAGCGCGAACGGTTCGAGACGCGGTACAATGGGGCCTCGCGCGCCATTCTGGACGGGCTTCAACCTGATACGCGGAGGATGCAATGCTTGTTCTGCTGATGTGAAATGCGCAATGTCGAAAGTCGTGACACGGCGCTCGTTTTTTATCTGCAGCCACACCGGGCTTCCCGCGTGAAGCCCTGCGCCGCTCTCGCAATCACTAACAAATGGGCTACTCGCCTTGTGCCACGATGGATGGAGTCAGGCACTTGCAAGCAGTGGCCAAAGCAAGCTCGCAAGCATGGAAGCATGTTGGTAATCGCATTTGGTGTAATACATCAATACTTCCGTAAGCACAGCCCCATTACCAATCCCTGGGCCAAGGTCACCGATCGTTATGCATCATCTGCTAACGCGAATGTAAGCAGCGCTGAAAAATATGTCTCCTTTCCTTCCGAGCGTTCGACGATAGAATATTGGAAAATATGAGGTACTACCCTAGATTAAATAATCTTTTGTTAACAAACCATGCTACGTCGAACACTCGAATCTTCACGTTGTGCTGAGGTGGTCGCTGCGCATATCATCAGTTAAAATTGAAGCGTTCGCTTAGTTTGTGTGCCAGGTCATACGCTGTGTATTAAGATGACTTTCAAGAGCTGTCTTTGACACCTTGGGAAAAGGACACCTTGGCATGGGTTTATCTGATTTCGGAAAACTCTGGAGTGATTTCTGCTCGAAATGGGACAACTGTCGAATTCGCATACCAGCATAGGCAATGTGCCGATTTCGTCACTTACTACAGCATGCCCCATTATGTAAATTTCCGAGAAGATACCTATAAAACCAGGAGAAGGGAACGGCCGACAGCTAGGCTGAAACAGGAGTGAACGGTGGCGCCGCCGTCTAACTGTGGTGGTTGACAGCCATGACCAACGGGCTGTCATGTAGGATAACCAGCATGACAAAATAGCATTATTTTGTATTCCTGGCATCAAACAGCAAAACAGTGTTGTCAGTTGTACAAAGCATCAATATCGTCCTATAACAACACCATCAACAGCGAGCTCGCCCGAGGGCACCACGTTCCTGCGCTGAAGTACAAGGCCCGCGGACAATCCCCATACAATACCAACTCAAGTTTCACAGAACTCTACGGACTCTGCAAGCACATATGGATGCAAGACAGGACACCAACAAGCCCTCCGCTGCTCTGGAAGCATGGGCATTCCCATCCATCCGTTCTCCCGGCTGAGTTGTGCCCGGCGCCCTCCACAGCGACCCCATGCAGGCACGACCCCCACCGCATCAGCGCATGATAATCTAGATTTGTGGTTGGTGAGGCGTTCTCCTAGCTTCGCCACCCCACGCCCCCATTCCAACCCAAGCGGCACACGTTCACCAAGACATTAGCGGAAGTGGCGCTGTTGACCGTCGTGACCAGCCACAGATGGCGTCCGGGCACCGCTGGAGTCTGCTGGGGGCCGTCTGTCAATAGCCCGTAAAACCGCCCCTGGTCCTGACTCGTCAACAGCTCAGGACTGAGACAATAACTGGTCGAAGCCAGTCCTCTAGCCGGGCCGGCGCTAACTGGGCGCCGTCTGCGAGATGGTGGCGGATGATGTCGACCCAAATCCCAGCCGCGCGCGCGCTCGCCGGCGCCGCCGGCCTGCGCGCGGGTCCAGGCCGCCCGCTTCTGCTGCTTCGATAGCTGCTCCCGTTTCTCCTTCCGACCAGGACCGTCCTGTAACAGAGCGGCGCACTGAGGGGAAAGCGGGTCCAGTCGTGGCAGCCGCTGTGTCACGACTGGCGGCCAGAGGAGACGGGGCAGGCGCTAAGACAGCAATGCACTGGGTGGAGAGCAACCCCTTGGCATCGCGGTGTTACGACTGGGCGGACAGGAAACGGCGCAGGCGCTGAGAAGGCGACGCACTGGAGGAGAGCAACCCCTTGGCAGTCGCGGTGTTACGACTGGCAGACAGGAAACGGCGCAGGCGCTGAGAAGGCGACGCACTGGGGGAGAGCGACCCCTTGGCAGTCGCGGTGTTACGACTGGCAGACAGGAAACGGCGCAGGCGCTGAGAAGGCGACGCACTGGGGGAGAGCGACCCCTTGGCAGTCGCGGTGTTACGACCGGCAGACAGGAAACGGCGCAGGCGCTGAGAAGGCGACGCACTGGGGGAGAGCGACCCCTTGGCAGCCGCCAGGGGACGGGGCAGGCGCTGAGCACTTGGCCTGAGTGGAAAGCTAGCACACCAGCCCGCAAAAGCCCGAAAAAAGGTCAACAGAAAACATTAGCCAGCAGGTTGACAGTCAACACAGCACGATGTCCACAAGGTCCTCGAATGGAGGTGGGGCACCATGGTGTCGGCCGCCAACCGTCAGATCTCGGTGAGATGTCATCCACCTGGGAAAGCACACATGAAGCTTTGGCATATTGGTGCAGTAAAAGTAAACTGCAACATGTGCTTGCAATCTGGTACATCAGGTTTTTAGTGAGTACTTTCAGTTCCCCCAGCGAGATGTCCCCACAGGGACCCAAACAGCATTACAGCATAACAGACCTGTGTTATACTGAGCTCCTCCACCTCCTCGGTGACCTCCGCCATCACAGGGGCCAAAGTCTGTTGCTCCATGAGGTCTGTGACATTTTCCTTGACCCACTCGAAGAGAGTAAATGTCATGGACATGCCAAGCATGGCCTCAGCCTGCTCCTGCACCTGGCTGACCACATGCTGCTTCACTGGTGGCAGACTGGCCATGAACAAGAGAGTGAGTCAGTGATGTTCTGCATAGGTGTACCAGCTGTCACAGACCACACTGTGCTTAATAAATACACCTGCCAATCCCAGTGTATGACATAGCTCTGCACAAACATCACACATGCACTAAATCCCATCATTACAAGACTCATTGATACTCTCAACCAGCAATGCTGGTAGTCATGGAGGTTGAAGTAAACATGACACTTTGCCTTTGCCTCATTAATTTACCATTGCTACCAGAATTCATATCCAGTAATTGCCATGTAACAGCATATACAAAATGGACTTCTCACAATGCCACTTATCACAACACATGTCATAAGAGGAAGATTAACAGATAAAAGCAAGTACAGTAAACTTCCAATGCACATACTCACATATGGTTGTTATAAAATGCATCAAGGTTGACATTTGGGAGCTCATCAGGGTAACTGTCTGTCCATTTCACTTCAACCAAGAAAGATTGTTTTTCACCATCATCTCCAAACTAAAAGAACATGAAAAAATAAAGGTGAATTAGATCAGCAGCTGAAATTTAACAGTCAGCCACAGCATATTCACATCATGTGGACACAATTTTTGTGTTCTGCTTCAAAATTATAACATATACATAACCTTCCACAAAGCAGCAAACAACCACATAAGGTTATCATAAAAAACAGAGTGATAGGAATGTGCCTCAAAGTGGTTCAGAGGCATATTATAAATATTAACACCAAACATTTTGAAGATTATGCATGACATAACTCAGCTAAATAGAAAAGTCCTGATGAAAGCTGATCAATTTCTATTCATCTGTAGTGTTACTAAAGAAAGCCCAGCTGCCTCAAGAAGGACAGGACTTAGAGATAGCTGGGACCTGAGGTTAATACTTGCCTTATACTGAAAAGTTTTCTCATCAACTTCAATGAAAGCTGCATCACCTTCATATATTGATCTAAGGACTTCCAGCTCCTCAGCTTGCATCTCTGATGACATCTTGGTAGCTCTGAAAGAATTAAGTGGTCATGATTATATGAGGTGGCTGTTAACCATGCTCATGTACCCTGTGACATCCACTTTGGTACAGAAGCAACACAAAAAACACATTCCATGACATGAATGGTTTCAGGTGCATGTGCATGAGTATATTTGTGGATAAACAAATTCAACATTGAAATAGTACTTAAGCCTAAATGAGATAATAGATTCTGAGATATTCAATAGCACTATGCTAATTTGTTTAACATGACAAAGCAGCATTAGCATTTTTTAGATCTGGCATTTAGCAACGTCTACTTGTGCTTGCCCCCTTTTGAGGAATATGTGACCCGTGGCCCCAACTCGGCCCTTGGCAACTACCAGCTAACACAGCTCTGTACTACAAAGTGCGAATTGCTCTATGGGGCGCAGTGTTCCTAAATTTGTATCCACACACTTTTTCAAACACACCGTTTTTTTCTACAAGGACCGTGTTTTTCCCCACGGTTCACAGCTCTTCGGTACCCTTTGATGCACGTGTGCCCATTTCTTTGAACTGGCACCTACCTGAACCTGCGGATCTCAAAGGCCACGTCTCTCTAAAACGCAGCTCAGCAACCTGAGTATACGTGGTGTTCTATTGCCCCGGATATGCGAGATCCGCAAGATTTGAGTGGCTTTTTCAGGCTCGACCCTTTACAAAACAGCTATTTTTAACAACTGTAAAAGCTGGTTTTCGCGATTTCGCCCGCATTTCAGGATGCCCAGGATGAGCAGGATCGACGAGTGCAACAAGGTATGAAAACAATACTAATAAGTATCATTGGAATAATGCACCAAAAACTCTAGGAAAAAAATCATTTTAGCACACAAACTGTGCCATGGCTGTCCCCCAAAACTTGCATTACCATATATTTGAAAATAGAAGAAATGCTAGTTGTGACGAACATGCTCCAAGTCAGCTGATTCTATGTCAAAGATGCGGTATATATGTCTTCTACTTCAATGCTTTTTTGCGGGCCCCTGCTACCGACCATAACAATGGGCGGGGTGTGGGCATGCCCAGGGTAGTTAGGTTTGTGTTCTGGGTCCCACTAGTTGATTAGGTTAGGTGAAGCAAGGAGGAAGCGACAATATGGAATTTCTGCTGAATAATTATATCTTGTGTCCCACTTTGACCCGCATTCTGTGAAGCAGTCAGCGATCCTGTGTGTGACATGCGGGTCAGACTGCCAGAAATGCACGGTACGTCGGGTACGTCTGGCGATCAGCAATATTGCGGCAATACTTTCGGGTTATGTGCGTCGTAAATGCGAGCATTCAGAGTTTGGTGAATAGTCGCCATCAATTTCAGCATGCAGATTGTGCTGCAAGGAGTTTTGATGTATGAGTAGTTTTGTGCTAAAATGCTCCTAAATTATTTTTATGCAATAATGTAATTGTATTTTCAGAGGATAGAGTGAGATGAGTATTGTTCTCCTACCATAAGGCTAAGCATGCTGGAAGGGCTTCATAAAACTAAGAAACCTAAAAATTCAAGTGGTTAGTTATTCCAAAGCATTGATATTTTGAAAAAGAACAATCTTAATGTTCCACATGCTTGACTGCTCAGAAGGCATTCAACAATTCTAAGATGAATCCTTGGTTGACTGATTTGCTGCTGATGAACAGGTTTGAACAAACAAATTATGCAATTAACTTGTGAAACTTCTCTGAATGATTCACCATAGCTTCCAAAGATGCCCAAGTCAAAGATACATGCAGTGGCACCAGAGATTTAACCAATATTGGCAAGGGTGGCAGACCCTGTAGAGCCTTGTCCTACTTCTACTTGGGGTCAAAACAATCATGCTACTTTGTTTGACCCCAAAATTGATGGTACCCCCTTCATTAAGCATTCTTGCCATGCAAAGATAAAGCCACAGATGTTCTGATGTGAAGCCTGTGATTTTTGTCTTGTCGTTGCTTGGGAGACCAGTGTGCTGTCACTGCTTAGGATTGGCCCTTCAGCATTTGACATCCCTTATATCAAATCCAGTTGGAGTCCTAGGTTGGCACCACAGTGATACTTTTTTGTCAGTGAAAAAATAGTGCTCCTTTTATGTAATAATGCAGCCTTGACCCTAAGAAGTTGCTTTTTCCAGGTATCAAATGAGTTAGTTGTCTGCTCCAGCCATGTCTTCTGAAAAGAAAACATCTAAGAAGGAAGCAGGCTTTGAAGGAATGGTCAAAGGTGTGTGACCTCTGTATGGATACATGTGCAATGACTGTTGGGAGTGAAATGCAGTTAAATGACCCCATCACCAGTGTTGTGTTCATCATGGTAGAAAAATGGAAGCAGAACAGCATGTCTCCCCACCACATATCTATGACATGCTCTCAAACATAATGAAGAGGAACATATCATATAGCTTGCCATGAATGGCATCAAGCTCACATGAAAATGAACAAGAAGACCAGCACTGACACATGTTTCACATACTCCAGACTTTGTGTTTTTTGTGCATCTGGTGATGTTGGTCATGGTCATTCTTCATGGGGTGCACAGAGTGCAGCTGGTATGGGTGAGGCCATCACCTGAGCATCCCCTTCCACATGCTCTTCATGTCCACAGAGCTGAAGCAGCAGCTGACTGAGCAGGTGCGGTGTCTGGACACACGGGCTGACACACAGGCAGCGCTGCTGTTTGAACTACAGGTAAGCAGACAGTGTGAGTAGGGTGTCAACGTACACCTAGCTAACAGTGCAGGCAGTGCTGTTTTTTTAACTTCAGATGAGCTGGTGTCAGCACATTAGCCACATGAAGTCAAGACATCAGCATTCCTTGTTATGACACAAATTTCAGGAATAGTTCAATTATTTTGCTCATATGATTCTCTGTTATTAGTGTATTTGGTGTCCTTTTGTAATTTACAAGAAGATTTTGCACATTTTATTGGCAATACATGGTGTGAGGTCGCTTACCTGACTCGACTTGAAGTTGGTCATTTTCGCCAGAATCGAGACACACATGGCTCGGGATTCAGCTCAAACAGACGTAGCCAGGCAGTATTATTTGACTGCATTTAACAGTCTGACTACATGACCAGTCAGTGGCTAGCGCGTGGCAGGTCTCGCTGGGTTATTCACTGTCGAGAAGAAGGTGGGGCCGGCCCAGTTGCTGACCAGGGAGGGCAATAGGTCTAGATATAGGTCGAGGTCTAGGGCGAGCCCTGAGACCTCGAAGAGTGGGAATTTTCGCTCTTCAGGCCAGGCTTTCAGAAAACTGTCCCGGTCCTTAAGACTTGTCTTTCTGAATGACCTCGCGCCCGATCAGCCTCCGGCCGGCCCGCACGCGTCCAGGAAAGGGTAGGGGCTACCAGCCAGCCGGGGCGCGTGGTCTAGCTGTGGGGGAACAAAATGGACCTTAAGTATCGACAGCCCATGGGCGGGAGAAATCAAGAACGACTGTTTCTGAAAAGGGTGTAATGCGGGAATCCGTTGTTACAAATGAATTCATGACGTCGCGTTAGTTTTGTGCATTGTTTCATTCAAGCTGGTAACACACATTATTCTATTCGATAGCAATCGGTCCCGTTCATCACATTTGGAAGTGGTCCACTTGACTTGACTGAGAAAAACGGCATGGCCCGCATGTGAGGGTCGTCCTGGGCAACTTTCTGGGTTGACAAATTAATGATCAGCATGATATGTGAGACAGAACGTAGACCAGTTAGTCGTGAGCGGCGACAGGAGAAGCCGCTGTTCCGTACTAGCTTATTTTATTACTTGCTATTTATCTTTTGTTTATGTCATTTTGTTATGTTGTCATTACATTATCGCCCGGCTTTCCAGGACTTTTTTCGGCGGCGTGCGGACCTGGAGCTGGAGTACAGCAGGAATCTCGACAAGCTGCACAAGTCGCTCAGCCAACGGCACAAGGATCTGAAACAGAGGCGAGTCGTGATGTCACCACCTCCATTTTGTCGGGGAAGTGGCTTACAAGCACTTGTATCGCCGTTCGCGCCCCTGTCTGAGCTGTCCAACATAGCAGGTGTTTGAGACCACGTTAACCGCCGCGACTGGTGCCCCAGAGTCGATGCCGTGCGCTAGCGCGCGGACTCTGCTGTCCCGGACGTCTGTGAGCTGGGTTTTGTGTCGACCCGCGGTGGCGCGCCGCCCGCCTGCCAACCGGCGCCAGGGCGGTGACTCAGCTCTGCTGGATGCCCGCAGACGAGACCAAGCGCACCTCTTCTCGTCGTACAGCTGCTGGCAGCAGCTGATCCAGCAGACGCGCCACGAGTCGCGTGACCGCGCCACCATCGGCGACGTCTACTCCACCGTGGTGCCGCAGAAGCTGGCGCGGCTCGGCGACGACCTGCTGCGCGTGCACAAACGGGTGGGCACGGGTGCTCTGGAGGCTACAAGTGGTGTGGTGCGGACGGGTGGGGTCGGCCACTCACGCCCAGCGATATGGCTGTTTTGCGGGTGTGTTGCAGCCATGGGGTACGGGCGGGCCTGGCGTATGGAGGGTGTAGTGCAAGCAGGCTGACCTGCAGCTACTTGGCTATAAACGGCCACGGACTGGTAATGAACCAAATCACTGGCTCATAGTCCGCGATTTCCGTGGGCTGTAAGGAGGGCTTTGTAACTAGGACACTGCTGCAGAGTGATGTAAATGGGTCGAATTCATTGGCGCTGATTGGTTTTGACGTCAAGTTATCAATTGTAGCTGCTAAAGACTGAGGCTAGTGAGCAAAGTAGGATTTCAGCCAAAAGGAACTCTTGGTTATGACTAGTGCTTGTGGTTGTTGTTGATGCACATTCTGCAAGCGGTGTTCCAGCATTTCACAAAATTTGTATGCATATCTGCGGTGAGCCCAGGACTGCCTCAATAAGGGTGTTTTTTCTTTATTTTAGTGCCGTCAAGTCTGCACGGATTCTCACGAAGAGTTGTTGAAGCTGATCAATGAACTCCAGGCAGCTACCAAGACGTACAACATGTACTACGCACAGTTCAGCACCGCCGAAGGTAAACTTCAGTACGTAGTCAACCAGAAGGCCAAGCTGGAAGTAAATCTGCCAGAAGAGAAGCTTGAAAAATCCAGGAAGTTCAGGCTGGTGGAGAAGGAGATTGTCAAGGTGGGTGGAACTACGTGCATACTGTCGCAGAGTGTCCTGATATATCCGGGGTACTGCACGGTCATATTGCGCTTCGATGGCTCCCTTTGTGGTGTCTTCATGAAGTATATGCAAATTACTGTGTCATGGGCAGCATGCACTGCCGTTGTTTGACTGCTACTCCGGGCGACATTCGGCCGGGCAGTCTTATGGCGTCCGCTAACGCTCTGCACTACCCGGCAGCGACGCAACAAATACCAGGACACGCGGCTGCAGGCGCTGCGCGCGCGCAACGACTTCATCCTCTGCCTGGAGGCGGCCAACGCGGCCGTGCAACACTACTTCGTGGACGACCTGCCGGACGCGTTGGACTGCGCCGACACGGGCGTGCACGCGGCGCTGGGGCGCGCCCTGCTGATGGCCACCGACGCCCAGGAGGGCACCATTGACGGCCTGCGGCAGGGCGTGGAGGCGCTGACCAGGGCCGTGTCCGCTCTTGACGCCCGGCTCGACAAGCAGCGCTTCATCGAAGCCAACAACGCCTCGTTCATGCTGCCGAAGAAGTTCGAGTTCGTGCCGTATAAGGGAGATATTGTGAGTGATCCAGCGTGTCGGGTTTCGGAGTGACAGTGATTTTGCTTGGAGTTTTGCCGCCGTGGATTCATTTCAAGCCTTACACTGCTACTTTTCCGCGCTCTAAGGGTGCCGCCCCGGATATTTGACGGAGATTCACTGTTGTTTTCGGGTGCATTCTGTTGTGCTTTGGCTTGAGCTTCCTCGTAAGGCCTGACATTTGTCTTCGACGGCCCTTCACGATCTCGTCATGTCTTAACGGGTCACCGTGACGGCCCGCGGGGCCGACTTCATTGCACTGCTGCTCGCCTGCACCTAGCTGAAACCCCGGACACCAGAGCTTTTGGCGCTTCCCATAGATGTCGCGCTACGACGTCGATCCAGCGATCCTGGACGAGACGCGGCTGCGCTACGACGCGCTGGGTCGCCGCATCGAAGCGCTGCGTACGGCCACCGACGAGCAGTGGAAGACGATGGAGACGGCCGAGCGGTCCCTGCTGGAGATGGCCGGCACGGCGGAGATCGACTGCCGCGGCCTCTTCCAGTCGCCCAGCGCGCCGCGGCCCACGGAGACGGCACTGGCCAAGCAGCGTGGCGACCAGCTGGAGACCGGGCAGTTCTACGTGACGGTACGGGGCGTCACTGCCCGGCGGTGTCACGTCCTTTGCCAGTGACCTGGTATTGAAACAGCTGGCCCACCCATGCACGTCACCGCAACGATTATGGTAGCCTTAAGACGAATTTTTAGTCGTTTCTGGCATTTCTGGAAGCCCAGTCATGGTCTTTGTTACAGACGGCTGGAGACGGGACAGTGCCGCGCGTCTGCCATGAAATTGATGCTGGAAATGTTCATGTGGGTTAAAGTTTGTTAGATCAGTCAGCTTGTCAGAATCCAACCCCAGTTAGTCAGAAGTTTGCCGAGTTGTCGGCACCCCCTGAGAAGATTGTGTGACCGTGCTTGACCTGTCATTCTCCTTGGCCGAGGTTTGCGACCGTGCTATCTACATTCTGTCCGGTACAAGTTTGTCAGATTTGTGACCAACTCTGACTCTGATTCGGACGCCCACCTGTGCGTCCCGAAGGGGCAGAGTGTTGTTGGACTCGTGGTTGACTGCGGGAATTGCCCTATCTCTCCCGCGGAAGTGCCGTGTTCGCGGCGACTCAACCCTGGTCCCCTCCGCCGGCAGAAGTTCGCAGAGTTCGTGGCCGACTCGAACCTGCTAGCGCGGCTGCAGGTGAAGCGCGAGCTGCTGCGCTCGGGGCTGAGCGAGCATGCGCCCGAGCTGGAGCGGTCCGGTCGCGCCGTCTGCCCGCCGCCGCCGCGCCGTAAGCGGCTGGGCCGCGCGCCGGCCGACGGCCAGCCGCGCCTCTTTGGCGGCAGCCTGTCCGAGTACCTGGAGCAGAGCGGTCAGGACATCCCGCTGATCGTGCGCTCGTGTGTGCGCGTCATCAACCTGTACGGTCTGCATCATCAGGGCATCTTCCGCGTGTCCGGCTCGCAGGTGAGACTGCACAGGACGGATGGGCTGACGTGTCGGCACCAGACGCCATCAGGGCTGTGAGCAGGGGGATCGGGCTGAGGTGTCAGCACCAGACGCCATCAGGGGTGTGAGCAGGGGGATCGGGCTGAGGTGTCAGCACCAGACGCCATCAGGGCTGTGAGCAGGGGGATCGGGCTGAGGTGTCGGCACCAGACGCCATCAGGGCTGTGAGCAGGGGGATCGGGCTGAGGTGTCGGCACCAGACGCCATCAGGGCTGTGAGCAGGGGGATCGGGCTGAGGTGTCGGCACCAGACGCCATCAGGGCTGTGAGCAGGGGGATCGGGCTGAGGTGTCAGCACCAGACGCCATCAGGGCTGCGAGCAGGAGGAACGGACTGAGGTGTCAGCACCAGACGTCATCAGGGCTGTGAGCAGGGGGATCGGGCTGAGGTGTCGGCACCAGACGCCATCAGGGCTGTGAGCAGGGGGATCGGGCTGAGGTGTCGGCACCAGACGCCATCAGGGGTGTGAGCAGGAGGATCGGGCTGAGGTGTCGGCACCAGACGCCATCAGGGCTGCGAGCAGGAGGAACGGACTGAGGTGTCGGCACCAGACGCCATCAGGGCTGTGAGCAGGGGGATCGGGCTGAGGTGTCGGCACCAGACGCCATCAGGGGTGTGAGCAGGAGGATCGGGCTGAGGTGTCGGCACCAGACGCCATCAAGGCTGCGAGCAGGAGGAACGGACTGAGGTGTCAGCACCAGACGTCATCAGGGCTGTGAGCAGGGGGATCGGGCTGAGGTGTCGGCACCAGACGTCACCAGGGCGTCTGCATGCGGGTCCTTAAGGCACTGGAGACATTCGACTCGGGATCAGTGTGCGTGTTCCTAAGCACGACAGGCATCCAACTCTGGATCTGCACGCCTGTCCTTGAGGCGCGGAAGGCATTCAGCTTCTGATCAGTTTGTATGCCCTTAAAGCAGAAGAATTCACGCGGGCTTAAGTTCGCATGTTTCAAAGTTCCGAACGCATTGTTGTGACTATGTTCCTGTCGTGTTAACACGAGCAGACCGCGCTCTGCGGTTTTGCTGTGTTTCGTCGGTGGCCGGCTGCACAGTATGAACGGGACGGTGAGCGAGTCTGTCAGACATGGTCGAGTCTGTGCATCGATCACCTGCCACCGCCTGGCCGCAGGTGGAGATCAACAACTTCCGCGACAGCTTCGAGCGCGGCGAGGACCCGCTGGCGGACGTGTCGGACGCCTCCGACATCAACTCGGTGGCCGGCGTGCTGAAGCTGTACCTGCGCGAGCTGCGCGAGCCCTTTTTCCCGACCCAGTACTTCGACCAATGCATGGAGATCGCCCGTGAGTCCAGCGGCGCGCACGGGGTGTGTTGTATGTGTACGGTTGTGAGTGTACTTGCGGCAGGTGGACGGGCTGCGGTAGTGGCACGGTTTTTGAACCCGCGTTCGTGCCCCTATGACGACTGTGGCGGTTCAAGCTGAGAGGACCTGGTGACGGCTACGGACCAGAACATTGAACAACAGTCGGCCACGCTCCCCCAAGAGGACCACACATCCCCAAACCAACTGCGCTCTCCCAGGCCGACCACACTCCACAAGCCGACCACGCTCCCCAAGCCAGCCACGCTCCCCAAGCCGACCACACTCCACAAGCCGACCACGCTCCCCAAGCCGGCCACGTCCCCCAAGCCGGCCACGTCCCCCAAGCCCACCACGCTCCCCAAGCCGGCCACGTCCCCCAAGCCGGTCATGCTTCCCAAGCCGGCCACGCCCCCCAAGTCGACCACGTTCCCCCCCCAAGTTGATCACCATGGGCGGTGTTTTTGGTCGCGTTTTATTTGAATGTCATTGTTTCCGCGTCACATTCCTCGTTATTGCATCACATGCTTCGTTAGGATCATTCCTGACTGATTAAAGATTGCTCACTGTTTGTGCCCTCCAAGCATGCCATACCTTCCTAGTTAGGTCAGTGCCCCATTCCATCCTACGCTCGCGCCCCACGCCAGATGGGGATGCGGGTGCTGTCGCGGCTGACGCGTCTCCCCCGGCGGCCGCAGAGCTGGGCAGCTCGGACGATCAGACGGCGCGGCTGCGCGAGCTGGTGTCGGCCCTGCCGCGCGCCGTCCAGCTGGTCATGCGCTACCTCTTCGCCTTCCTCAGCCAGTGAGTGCCGCCAACCGAGCCGGACCGGGGCGGCTCAGCGCGGCGGCTCTCTGCCGCCGTGCGTCGACAGCTGTTGGGCTGGTGTGTTGCGTTTCGGGCAGGGTCTTGGTTTAGTATCGGGTTTTATATCCAACGTTTGTATTTATTGGACTATTCTCTTGGACTATTTTGGGCTTAGACCATTATCACGGTGTAGGGTGGATGGAAAGAGTTCCCTCGCGATTTCCCTACTTCAAACCAGTGCGCATGGGAGCTAACACGTGTCAGCCAGTTCGACGGCCCCCCTCCTTTTCACGCAGTTGTTGATTGCGACATCTGATCAGCCTTCCAGTCGATGCCAAAAAGTTCGAAGCCGTTGTAAGGGGCGTGTGCTTCTGCGCCTTGTGATCTGGCCATTGGCCTCCGCACTGTGCCATGACGACCGCGCTGATTGGTGGCGTCCGTGGCGCCGCTGTCCGCCAGCCTGTCCGAGTTCAGCGACGAGAACATGATGGAGCCCTACAACCTGGCCATCTGCTTCGGCCCGACCCTGCTGCCCATCCCCGAGAGCAAGGATCAGGTGCAGTACCAGAACCTGGTCAACGAGCTGATGAAGCACATCATCCTCTGCCACGACGGCATCTTCGCGTGCGACGGCGGGCCCGTCTACGAGAAGTACATCAGCAGGGGCCCGACCGAGGCGGAGGAGATCGGAGAGGCGCCCTCGGAGACGGCCGCCCAGCTGGACGGCGCTGAGCTCGAGCCGCCCTCCGAGGACGGTGAGCGGGCGCAGCCGGGCGCCAGACGCGGCCGGGCGCCAGACGCGGCCGGGCGCCAGACGCGGCCCGGCGCCAGACGCGGCCGGGCGCCAGACGCGGCCGGGCTCGCCGTCTGCGGCCGGGGCGGTCCGGGAGGACGCCGCGGCTGGTCTGCCGAGCCGACTCTGGAGGCAGTGTAGGGGCTCCGACCGTGGGACTCGCCGGTGGTGTAGAGCGGCCCCCTCATGGGGAGTCAGCAATCATTAGCGGCTGTGCTAATGCTCGCTCGGAAGGGTTCGTCGCATCGCCAGCGTGGCACGGCGAGTAGCGGATGTCGACCGTAGCAACCGTGGGGAGGGGTACAAGGTCCTGGGACCCTTGGTTGGGCTCCTGGCACATGGCTGCCAGGCACGGCTCGTAGCCATGATTGTCCCTGGGAGCAGCTGTGCAGAGTTCCGTGGCACGAGGAGATCTGTCGTTTTCGTTGTTATGTTTGCTTTGTCCTTTGTTCGTTTTGTTTGTTTCAATTTCTGTTCTTTTTTTCGTAACCCATAGCTTACGTTTTTCCCTCAGATCCATTGATAAAAGAAAGAGAGCTGAACATAAGTTTGCAGATATTTGGCAGTAAGTATATGTGTTCTCTTTCCTTTTCTCCTTTTTTGCCGACGTGCAATGCTTTTGGCGAAAGTTGTTCTGATAGACTTACCAGATGAAAATTGATGTTAGTCCACAACTTTAAAATGCTGCTTCGTTAGGTAGCAAGCAGCCCTTACTTGACAATCGAATGCAATCTTATTTTGTAATATGGTGTGACCTTTGAGTTATTGCGCTCTAGGAAGGTCGTGACGTTGCCCTTTAGATTGTGCCTTGTCGACTGAAAGGCGTGTGGTGGTGGACCGCTGGTAGGTTTCTTGTTAAGCTCTTGACCACTCGTTTTGTCGTTTTCGTACAGCACTGCAGCATCGTTCATAATCGATGCTGAATTACGTTGGATGCGGAACAATTTCGGATTGTGGTGTAACGTGGCAATTTCGGAGGATACTATAACGGGGCTTTTCTCCGACGCTGGCTCCCATCTGGACTGAAGTGTATGCCCCCCCCCCCCCCGCCTCCGGCGGCCTCCGCGCCCGGCGCCCCTGACGCCGCCTGTGCCGGCGTGCCGCCAGAGGGCGAACAGCTGGAGGCGGTGGCGCAGTTCGACTTCTCGGCCCGCTCGCCGCGTGAGCTGAGCTTCCGCTGCGGCGACGTGTTGACGCTCTACAGGCAGGTGTCGTCCGACTGGTGGCGCGGCGCCTTCCGCGGTCAGGACGGCCTCGTGCCCGACAAGTACATCATGCTGCGCATCAGGTGTGTGGCTGCGGCGACCGGGGGCGCGGTCGGGATGGCTGGCGTGGCGGACAGACTGGCGTGTCTCAGCGACGACGCCCGCTTGCCAGATGGTAGTTTCCCCACAAACCACCGGTTCGAACGCAGTCTTAAGGGGCTTCGAATCGATTTTGTTGCCAAGGTTGTCTGTTGTCTTCCATGTACAAAGGCGGGGAGGATTATTAGACGGGTGGGACTTGATTGGGACGCGTTTGACGTGTCTGGTGATGGCAGCCGAGAGCATCTGACCCGCCCCGTCCCTCCAGGGACGAGGAGCGCACCAGCGGCTCCGAGTCGGGCAGCCAGCCGCGCGCGTCCGTCAGCAGCGAGCCGGCGCGGTCGGCCAGCCGCAGCGCCCGCTCCTCCACCTCCACCCTCTCCACCGCCTCCAGCTCCTCCGTGCTGGAGCACGCCGAGGTACTGGAGACCTCTGTTTGACTCCGCTCGAGCCGGCCGAGACCGCATGAGTCGTCCCATGGCTAGCCTCTGGGCGCGCTATTGACGGCTCTGGAGGGATCTCCCAGGAAGCGGACGTTGTGTACATATTCATGCCGCTTTGCCTGCCGACGCTTTTGGGGCTTTCCGTTGGCTACTAACGCCAAAACTGATGCGGGTTATGCTTGGTCCGTGTGGCGCCAGCAAGGGGCGGTGTGCAAGACGACGACTTTACGGTAAAGCTTTAACATTTCATTTGCGATGTGTTAACGATACATCGCAAGGACAGCGCTAAGCGAACGACTTGAGGATGTGCTTCTCGCAGTTGTCAGACTCGGGACGTTCAGTCGGTATTCCCAGCCTATCTTTAGCATACTGCAGGCATGGTAACTTCAAGAAAAATTGGCTAAATGCTCTGGAAGTGGAATCCTTGCTAAGTAAAACTTGCGGCGAAAACACCACCGCAGATGGGCGAACACAGTTCAGCGAGCGATATTTCCAAAAGATTTTGTGTTTCTCCACACAGGAGCAAGGTTGCCCCCTTTTTTAGTAGCGTGTCTTGGTCGATTGGCAGTTAGCCGCCGTAGACACGGTACGGTTTCTGTAACGCGAACACGTGTGTGCCACATCTCGACCAGTGCCTCGGACGTTCGCTGAGTTGGGCTAGAGGGTCGGCGCTGGGAAACTACAGAAACAGTGAATACAGCAACTGGCACTTTAAAAGTGTTGAGCGATTTTGTGGGCCTTGGGCCATTCAGGTGATAGCAAAGCTATCCCAGCTTTTTCGTTGTCGATTTTTCGGTTTAAGTCATATGAGATGTAGTAACCCGGCTATTTTCTAGATAATGGGTGGAGAGGATCAATCAGCCCCTAGATGGTCACGTTTCCCCAAATGTCACAAGCGTTTATTGAAGCTTTGCTCTCAAGTGATAGCACGTTTTTTCAAGAAGCTGGCAGCATGTTTAACGGTGGCCTTAACGCGGTGTGCGCTAATGGCGCGAATAACTGGCGGGCATTGCAATACATGTTATGTTTGGGCGGGTTTGCGGGACCGTGGCTGTGACTAATGTGTGGCTAACTGCGCTGTGCGCCTGGCCGGTGTCGGGCATCGCACTTGCCGTACGTTATGCCCCGCTGGGCTGCATTCACTTGCCAAGCTGTGTGCCTGTATGATACTCTGGCGAGCTGGAGCCGCGGCTGGCCAGTGGTGTCGGTTCCTGTGTGCCTGCGGTCTGCGGTTGCCGAGTCTCGCTGTCGATGTGTGTCCACGTCAGGCTGTGTTCACCTCTGGTGTCCGGTACTAACCGCCGGTGGCGGCTGCTATGCGCTGTCCGCGGTGGCGGCGCTTGACCCCCCTGTGACCCGATCGTAGGAACGCTGGCTGCCGGACCGGAGCGCCACGCTGCCCCGCGGAGGCGCGCCCACCCCCGCACCGCGCGCCGCCTCCCTCTCCCTTCTCCACCGGGCCGCCGCCGCCGCCGCCGCGCCGCCGGCCGCCGAGCCGGCCGTCACTCCACGTCGGCGGCCGGCGGAGGCGCCGCGCCCGACGCCCGGCGACGACGCCGACGGTGGCTGGACGGGCGACGTCACGCCCGACGCTGACACCGACGCCACTGCCGCTACCGACGCCGCCGACGGCGAGGACGAGGACGACGGTGACGAGCTGGAGCGGGCCATGCGCCAGATCACGCTGGTGACAGAGCGACTGCGCGCCGGCCAGCTGTCGCCCGACGAGAGCGGTGAGCACGCCGAGCCACCGCCGCCGGCGCCGGCCAGCGCGCGCGCCGCACCGCGCCGGCCGAGCGGCGCTGGGAAGGAGCCAGCGCCGCCGTCGGCTGGCAGCGTGCTGTCGCGCCGCGCGATGTGGGAGACGCGCGCCGCGGCAGAGGCGGCGCCCGGCCGTCGGCTGGCGCCCAAACACACGCCTGACCTGGTGATGGACCTGCCGGCCGAGTGGGGTCGCCTGCAGCGCAGCTCCAGCGGCTCGTCGGAGGAGGGCGCTGCCGTCGGCACCACGGCCGCCGAGACGTTCGCGCGGCAGGACCAGTGCACTGTACGGCGCGGAGGCCGCGCCTCGCCGGTGCGCGCGCTGCCCGCTGAGCCGGAGGCCGGCCCGGCGGCGGCGCCGGTGACCGGCGGCGGTGCGGCGCCGGCGCCGCGGCCCTCGTCCGCCGCGCCACCGGCCCCCGCGGCGCGGCCGGTCTCTGTGAGCGGCGTGCCCGTGGTGCCGCGGCCCGGGCTCGTCGCGCGCCCGGTGGCCGCAGTGCTGGGCCCGGGGGACGGCGCGCCGCCGGTCGGCGAGGCGGACGCCGGCCGCCTCGCCTCGATTCGACCGCGCGCCAGGATCAAGCCGCAGCCGGCCCGCAAGCCGAGCCCCAAGCACCGGTTGAGCACGCCCGGCCAGCTGCCGGACGCCTAGCTCGGATGGCGGTTCGCCCCGGCGGCGGCGTCAGCCGGCCGGCCCACCCGACCAAGTCACGTGCCAAGCGCGGTCCGGGCGGCCGCCGCTGTCATGTCACGGAGTTGCCCGGCCGGCGCCCGGGTCTTCCTCAAACGGACTGGATCGTGTGATACGCGGATGACACAGGGTGCTTGAAGGCGTCGTCCGGGAGGTCTAGGTGCCCGACGACGTTGGCAGGCAGCTAACGGCCTTCTGGAGGCCAGCAGCGGCGAGTCTCTTGCAGCTCCGAATACTCCGTGGATCTAATGCATCGAGGTTGGCAGCAGCCGTGTTGGGTAATTTGCCGCCGACTCGACACGTTGTGTGTTGGGGTTTCATGCGTGTTTTATCGGACCAGACGGCGGCGTTACTATCCGTGTTTAGACTTTACCGTTGCTCACAAGCAGAGGATCTATACATGTTTATCGCTGTTGGTTATAACTGTTCCCGTGTGTGTGGTGGTGGTGGATTATTAACCCCCGAAGTCCACCCAAAGGATTTGCGGGGGTAGATAGACGTAAATCGTGCGATGTTCTACATCGTAGGAAATCGCGCTTTGCTTTGGACAACTGAAGCTCCAGGCGCCAGAACCGGGACCTTGTAAGCGCTGCCAGAACATTTCAGTGATAGTTGAATCTCGTCAGTGACGTTTGTAAATATGTTGTACAAGGTTAGCACGTTCACGGGCCCGTGCAAGCATGGTTAACTGTTCCAGCCGTTCCTCTGATTTGGAGCCGTGAATACAGTTTGCAACACGCCTGTGATTCCAATAGTCGTTGACTCACACTCCGCTCGGAGACTTCGTTGTTTTAATCGGTAATACATGAGGATGCGTTAGCCGTCTTTTGGATGTACACGCGATGATTCCAAACCGATCCATCATTCTCGGCCCAGGTATCCCTCACAACAGGACGCCTTTCATCTGTACCCAAGTACTGCTCTGCACAGACGCATTTACAGTCGGGGGCGTCCCATGTTATAGGTTATAGGAAACAGCACAAACAGCGTTCTACCAGGAACCGACGCTCTGGTAGACGTTCACAATCCTAGATTCTGCAGATGATGCCAGGCACGAGTTATTTCTAACCCCCGAAATCGGTGGCGAGTGGACCACTGGCTGTCGTCGATGCGGCTGGGTCTGCGGACGTGTGCAGTGTGCGGAACTGGTCATAAACTGTCGCCGTCCGCTGGGCGTTCAGCATCGCCGGACCTCACGCGGACGCGCCGGTGTTGCCGCGCGCTTACGCGCCGAATGTGGGAGAAGACCCGGCCCGTACGCCTCGGCACATTCTTCCAGTCACGAATCTCATGTGACGACCAAAGTCACCGGTGTGATCCGATGGGTGGTGTATTGACACTCCGGGGAGCGGAGTTTTACACGGCCGTGCAGCTGCAGCGACTGCCGTTTTTTTTATGAAGGCACAGCCCGATCAACAGTTGCCTCCAATCGCCACACCTGTCATGCGAGCCATGTGGCAGTGAGCTGTCGTGCATGTACATAGGGCGTGCAGCTCTCTCTGTCTGGCTGGTGGGAGTCTGTTGACGTGGAATCGGCGTCTATCGGTCACGCAGACACGCGCACTACTCTGGGGAACCGCGTCTCTCAGAGGCGCCGTGCAGCCCGGCCGGGACGTGGGTTACGTGGGCTCTGTCGGAGACAGCAGCATCCCAAGGTCACATCGTATGCGACAGCAGACCTGTGTCGATCGGGGTGATGGACTGAGACACAAGTCACGGCAGCGCGGCTCTGCATAACCGACAGTCCCCGTTGTAGGAGCGCCCCTCTGAACAGGACAGAACGTCCAGTTCAGCGCTCGTCCAATCGACGCACACCTTTGATATGTAAAGCATCTGTCCACTGAGCTAGGCGGCCTACGTCAGGTCGGGCCGACGGTCATCTGTCCACTGAGCTAGGCGGCCTACGTCGGGTCGGGCCGACGGTCATGAGGCGTCCGCCTCCCGCCTCTGGCGCTGGTCCTCCACTATGGAGCGCGCCAGAGCTGTGATGTTGCCCTGGCCGAAGCCGCGCGCTCCCCGCCGCTCCAGCACCTCCATGAAGAAGGTGTCCTCCTCGAACAGCGGCTCGCTGAATACCTGTGTCAGGTACCTGCCAGCGGGAGTGGGGCGGTGTTCAGAGCGCCGGCCGGCCGTCTCCGGATCGGCGGCCGCGGGTCGCTCTTCTCTAAGGGTGCCAGCAGCGCAGTGGTTAACGCGTCTGCGCGGACCACTGCGCGTCTGGGAAATCAGAGGTACGGGGTTCGATTCCCCGCGGTGCCCGCCCTTCCTGCCAGGGTGAGAGGCACAGGTGACGCCATATGACCTAAAAAGCTGAGCGGCGTTGAGCCCCCATGACTCTACTCTACTCTTCTCGGGACATCGCTGCATACTGTATGTGTAGCCTCCACTATCCGACATGTCTTATCAGTCTCACCTCTACTCTTCCCGGGACATCGCTGCATGTTGTATGTGTAGCCTCCAACTATCCGACATGTCTCATCAGTCTGACGACCGTCACCATAAACAGTGATAGGTAGTGCCTATATGGGTGTAGATCTGAAGCCGCCGCGCGAGTCGCGATGAGCCCGATCGCGGCCGCCCACCTGTTGCCCATGTGCGAGTCCTCGTCGGCCTCGGAGTCCAGCAGGAGTCCCAGCTGCTGAAACAGCCTCAGCTCGTCTCCGCAGATGCCCGCTCTGGATATCTCGTCACCTTTACCCGTCTGACGAGAGAAACAACATGCAATGAGGCCGGAACGCAACACACCACACACGTAGGATCGGCCGGAGCTGCTACATTTTCAGCAAGGCGTGCGTGGATTTGTCGGTCCTGATGTTGTCTGGCTGCGCCTCCCTCACCCCGCCAGGGACGGTTCGCTTGCTCAATGACCTGCAGTTAGCCTCAATGGATCCATCCAACCGAACTGTAAACTACCAATAAGGACCACGGTCACCACGGAATCCTTGAACCTGGGTCATTGAACCCTCGAACCTGGGAACCCTGGGCGACCACGGAACTCTTGACATTAGACACACAGGGGGCACCATCTGGGCGCTGCGGGTGCCGTGGCCGCCGGTCCCCACCGGCGCGCACCTGGCTGTAGTAGGCGGCCGGCGGCTTCCGGAAGCGCACCCCGCGGCGCGCCATCTCGCCGACACGGCCGGCGATGTGGCGCGTGTGCAGACCGATGTGCTGCACGCCCGGACCGCCGTGCTCACGGTTGAAGGTCTCCACGTGCGAACCGTCTGTGGGGGAGGGCACGCGCTCGTCAGCGAGGCTGACCACGAGCGAGCCGTCTGTGGGGGAGGGCACGCGCTCGTCAGGGAGGCTGACCACGAGCGAGCCGTCTGTGGGGGAGGGCACGCGCTCGTCAGCGAGGCTGACCACGAGCGAGCCGTCTGTGGGGGAGGGCACGCGCTCGTCAGCGAGGCTGACCACGAGCGAGCCGTCTGTGGGGGAGGGCACGCGCTCGTCAGCGAGGCTGACCACGAGCGAGCCGTCTGTGGGGGAGGGCACGCGCTCGTCAGCGAGGCTGACCACGAGCGAGCCGTCTGTGGGGGAGGGCACGCGCTCGTCAGCGAGGCTGACCACGAGCGAGCCGTCTGTGGGGGAGGGCACGCGCTCGTCAGCGAGGCTGACCACGAGCGAGCCGTCTGTGGGGGAGGGCACGCGCTCGTCAGCGAGGCTGACCACGTGCGAACCGCCTGTGGGGGAGGGCACGCGCTCGTCAGCGAGGCTGACCACGAGCCAGTCTACGTCGGGCAAACCATAGTGTGTGTTAGCGTGTGGTATTGCGCGCCAGAGAAGAAAACAAGTGGACGACATCGCGCGAGAGGGGCTCTACTCGCTATGCTGTGCGTGCTGTATGACGAACGTTTGTAGACTATAGGCAACGTTCACAAATCGGTTGGGTGAAAACGGTGTCAGGCAGGGTATACACCTACCCTCAGTAAGGGAGAGCAGAGTTTTTCGTCCATAGATGTCAAGGCACATGCACAGACAGAGATGGTAACTGCACAGCGTACACCAACTATTACCTGCCACGATGGCTAAACACACTTCAATGAGGCTTCAACACGTGCCACTTGTCTGTTGGTCACAGGGATAAATTCATCTGCACGGATTACCGCGTCCACAGAGCAAATTCGACAAACGACTGCTGCCCTCCACTTAACGCACCACTCCTCCCACACCAGCGACTACCGCCCTCCACTCCTCCCACACCAGCGACTGCCGACCTCCACTCTGCGCACCACTCCTCCCCCACCAGCGACTACCGCCCTCCACTCCTCCCACACCAGCGACTGCCGACTTCCACTCTGCGCACCACTCCTCCCACACCAGCGGCTACCATCCTCCACTCTGCGCACCACTCCTCCCACACCATTGACTGCTGTCCTCCTCCACTCTGCACACCACTCCACCCACACCAGCGACCACCGCCCTCCACTCTGCGGACCACTCCTCCCACACCAGCAGCTGCTCTCCTCCACTCTGAGCACCACTCCACCCACACCAGCGACCACCGCCCTCCACTCCTCTCACACCAGGGGCTGCCCACCTGCACTCTGCGCACCACTCCTCCCACACCAGCGGCTGCCCTCTTCCACTCTGTGCACCACTCCTCCCACACCAGTGGCTGCCGCCCTCCACTCATCCCACATCAGCAGCTGCCCTCCTCCACTCTGTGTACCACTACTCCCACCCCAGCAACTGCCACCCTCCACTCTCCGCACCACTCCTCCCACACCAGCGACTGCCGCCCTCCACTCCTCCCGCACCAGCGACTGCCGCCCTCCACTCCTCCCGCACCAGCGACTGCCGCCCTCCACTCCTCCCGCACCAGCGACTGCCGCCCTCCACTCTCCGCACCACTCCTCCCACACCAGCGACTGCCGCCCTCCACTCCTCCCGCACCAGCGACTGCCGCCCTCCACTCTCTGCACCACTCCTCCCACACCAGCGACTGCCGCCCTCCACTCCTCCCGCACCAGCGACTGCCGCCCTCCACTCCTCCCACACCAGCGACTGCCGCCCTCCACTCCTCCCACACCAGCGACTGCCGCCCTCCACTCCTCCCGCACCAGCGACTGCCGCCCTCCACTCCTCCCACACCAGCGACTGCCGCCCTCCACTCCTCCCACACCAGCGACTGCCGCCCTCCACTCCTCCCGCACCAGCGACTGCCGCCCTCCACTCCTCCCACACCAGCGACTGCCGCCCTCCACTCCTCCCACACCAGCGACTGCCGCCCTCCACTCCTCCCGCACCAGCGACTGCCGCCCCTCCACTCCTCCCACACCAGCGACTGCCGCCCTCCACTCTCTGCACCACTCCTCCCACACCAGCGACTGCCGCCCTCCACTCCTCCCGCACCAGCGACTGCCGCCCTCCACTCCTCCCGCACCAGCGACTGCCGCCCTCCACTCCTCCCGCACCAGCGACTGCCGCCCTCCACTCCTCCCACACCAGCGACTGCCGCCCTCCACTCTCTGCACCACTCCTCCCGCACCAGCGACTGCCGCCCCTCCACTCCTCCCGCACCAGCGACTGCCGCCCTCCACTCCTCCCGCACCAGCGACTGCCGCCCTCCACTCCTCCCGCACCAGCGACTGCCGCCCTCCACTCCTCCCGCACCAGCGACTGCCGCCCTCCACTCCTCCCGCACCGGCGACTGCCGCCCTCCACTCCTCCCCGCACCAGCGACTGCCGCCCTCCACTCCTCCCGCACCAGCGACTGCCGCCCTCCACTCCTCCCGCACCAGCGATTGCCGCCCTCCACTCCTCCCGCACCAGCGACTGCCGCCCTCCCTCCCTCCCACACCAGCGAACTGCCGCCCTCCACTCCTCCCGCACCAGCGACTGCCGCCCTCCACTCCTCCCGCACCAGCGACTGCCGCCCTCCACTCCTCCCGCACCAGCGACTGCCGCCCTCCACTCCTCCCGCACCAGCGACTGCCGCCCTCCACTCCTCCCGCACCAGCGACTGCCGCCCTCCACTCCTCCCGCACCAGCGACTGCCGCCCTCCACTCCTCCCACACCAGCGACTGCCGCCCTCCACTCTCTGCACCACTCCTCCCGCACCAGCGACTGCCGCCCTCCACTCCTCCCGCACCAGCGACTGCCGCCCTCCACTCCTCCCGCACCAGCGACTGCCGCCTCCCGGGGGCAGGGTCTCACCTTGCAGACTCTCGGCGATCACGAACTTGAGCGTCGGCTCTCGGTCGGAGGTCGGCGGCGAGCTAAGCCCAGTCTCCGCGCAGCGCCAGTACTCCATGGCCTTCAGCGCCATCCCCACGTCGCCCTCCAGCCGCACGCCGTCCGCCTCGCTGTCCTCACTGGAACACAGCACACCGGCCGGTCGGCGAGCGCGCACAACGCGGACGGTGCTGCCGTGGTCGGCTCGACGGGCTGCTTCGTTCACTTCGTGCGGTCTCACCCGCCGCGGAGTGAAAGGGGCTGGGTTGCCGTACCAGCTGGGAGAGGGAGGGGGCTCACCCGGAGCAGCTCAGTCTGCAGGACAGCGGCGCGCAGGTGACGGCGTTCCTCCCACGTTCACCGTTCTCCTTCGGACATGCCGCCGGAGTTGCCGTTGTGGAACACGCCAATGGGGTCCGCCGATGCTCGTGATGGAACAACGGGCCGGGAGCGAACGGGCCTGGGATGAACCACCACGCCGCTCACCTGTTCAGTCGAAACCTCCTCATTCCGAACACCCGCCGGTACCAGTCGACCAGCGCCGTGCTCTCCCCCCGGCGGCATGTCAGCGTCACGTGGTCCACGTGCTCGTCGTCGCGCCCCGCGCCGTCGTCTTCCACCGTCGCCGCGCTCTCCCCGCTGCCGAAGCGCGGCAAGAACGCGCCCGTGTAGCGATCCCGGTTGAGCAGCGTGTGCACCAGGTTGCCGCAGACGGAGCCGACCACGGCGTACTCGACGCTGCCCAGCTGGTCTGTCACGCGCACTGGCGGCTGCAGCAGACGGCCGCCGGCGCGGGCCGCGCGCTCGGCCGTGCGCCACACGTCGCGCACGCTCAGCGCCACGTTAAAGACGGAGTCGCGCCGATGGGGGCCGTCCGCGCAGCAGAAGAGCGTCCACGGCTCGCCGCTGGCGAACCGCGCGTCGGTGGGAGCGTCGGCCGGCACCTGACGAGGCACGAGGCTGGGTCAGACAGGAGCCCACGGAGCAGGGGACGGGTAAGACCCGCACCTGGCGGAGCACGAGGGCTGGGTCAGACAGGAGCCCACGGAGCAGGGAGACGGGTAAGACCCGCACCTGGCGGAGCACGAGGGCTGGGCCAGACAGGAGCCCACGGAGCAGGGAGACGGGTAAGACCCGCATCTGGCGGGGCACGAGGATGGGTCAGACCTAAATCAGCGCAGAGGGGTGGGGGGGGGGGGGGGGGGGGGCTGGGTCAGACCAGCGCCAGCGGAGAGGGGTGAAATGGCATAAAATACGGAACGTAATTCATGGACCATGGATATGGCTAACGTCAAAAAGTTATGCTAGTGGGGCCCACCCGCAAGGAAAGTGTGGAAGGTGTCGTCAAACCATGGTTGGTCACCACGTCCGACGGGGCGTACACACCTCTAGGCAGGTAGGCGGGACGTGACCAAGCGGGAGACAAACTCGGCGGGCCTGGCGCGCTCACCTGCCGGTGCTTCTGAGTGATGACGAATGTGGCGTGGCCGCTGCGCACCACCCACTGGAGGCAGCGGGGCGTGACGCGGCGGCCCAGGCAGCCGAAGCCGAAGCCGCCCGTGAAGAGGCGCAGCAGGCGGGCCGCGTTGGCCGTGCACACCTCCACGTGGTGCAGACTCGCCATCGTCCGGGGAGCCCCGCTCGCCGCCTGCAGCACAGGACATCAACGTCGCCAACAGATCTATTTAGCAGAGTGGTGAGACAGTGTTAGCTGGGTGGTCGGACCGGTTCTTTGCTTCGCATCGTGTCAGGTTCATTCAGAATCATCATCATCATCACGTAATGTCATCCAAAGCAAGGGCGGATCCTGGAGAGAGAGAGAGGAGGCGATCGGGCGAACCGAGATACGCTCCCCCTTCCCATACAACAACAGGTCTGGCAACTATGGCAATTTCGAACTTTCAAAACATATAAGTCACGTGACTACGAGGAGTAAGTTTTGAAGCATCTCTTGCGATAAAAAGCCTAAACAGGATGAGTTTGGATTTTAAAGCGTGACATATTTTGCGTACTTCGCTCCCACCAAGCTGGACTTGCCGCCCCCCCCCCCCCCCCCCCGCCCCCGCCCCCAGGCCATGGACTGAATCCGCCCTCGATCCCATGTGACATGGACTGAACCCCACCCCCCCCCCCCTCCCACGTGACATGATCGGATACCGAAAGTTAAAACTGTGCGAGATGGCGAGCTACAGTCCACGGCCTAATGTTGAGACGGGTCAACTGTTGCTGTTCAATGTCGTCAGCCAGCTCGATCACTCAGGAGGCGGCGGACATATGTTATCACAGCGCAGTTATCACCCCCAAAAGTCAGAGGAGACCGGCCATTCGCTGAAGGCTGGTAACCGGAGTCCATTACTGAGAGAAAGCCCAAGCCCTGACCGTCCCGGAGCCCTGACCGCACCGGAGCCCTGACCACACCGGAGCCCTGACCGTCCCGGAGCCCTGACCGCACCGGAACCCTGACCGTACCGGAGCCCTGACCGCACCGGAACCCTGACCGTACCGGAGCCCTGACCGCACCGGAGCCCTGACCGTACCGGAGCCCTGACCGTCCCGGAGCCCTGGCCGAACCAGAGCCCTGACCATCCCGGAGCCCTGACCGCACCGGAGCCCTGACCGTCCCGGAGCCCTGGCCGAACCAGAGCCCTGACCGTCCCGGGGCCCTGACAGTACCAGAGTCCTGGTCGTACCAGAGCCCTGACCGTCCCGGAGCCCTGACCGTACCAGAGTCCTAGCCGTACCAGGGCCCTGACCATCCCGGGGCCCTGACAGTACCAGAGTCCTGGTCGTACCAGAGCCCTGACCGTCCCGGAGCCCTGACCGTACCAGAGTCCTAGCCGTACCAGGGCCCTGACCATCCCGGAGCCCTGACAGTACCAGAGTCCTGGTCGTACCAGAGCCCTGGCCGTCCCGGGGCCCTGACAGTACTAGAGTCCTGGCCGTACCACAGCCCTGATCGTACCGGAGCCCTGATCGTACCGGAGCCCTGATCGTACCGAAGCTCTGATCGTACCAGAGCCCTGACCGTCCCGGAGCCCTGACCGTACCAGAGTCCTGGCCGTACCGGAGCTCTGATCGTACCGGAGCTCTGACCGTCCCAGAGTCCTGACCGCACCAGAGTCCTGATCGCACCACAGCCCTGACCGTACCAGAGCCCTGACCGTACCGGAGCCCTGACCGTACCAGGGTCCTGATCGCACCGAAGCCCTGACGGTACCAGAGTCCTGGCCGTGCAGGACCCCTAACCGCGACGGGGCCGGATTCTCTGCACATCCATGTCCCCAGCCCATTTCACGGACTCCCTAATATTTTCAAACGCTCAGCCATGTTAGCCATATCAAGTTCAGACCCAATTTGAGCATTCGTTCCGGAACTTATAGTCACGTGACCTCTTAACCATGCGCAAGCTACTACGACAGGGGAGGGGTCTCTTCCCCACACGGTCCAAGACCGAGGGTAATGTATGGCATGTTAGGTATACTCTACCAAGGTGATCTGCTGCCAGGGGCGCCATAACCGGGGGCACACTGGTTTCCAACTGTCTGGAAATTGCACACAACACTAAGGGCTTCAGCTGGAAAGAAATAACACAAACACTGTTTCTTGGAAGACATCGCTCTGGTTCCTGCTTGCGCCAGTGCACTGAACCGTAACGAACCCGCGGCTACGCAAGGCCTCCAAGGTACGTCGGATCACGTCATGCAAGCGAGGACCGGAAATCCGCCAGAACATGGCCGATGCAGCCAAAGGTCGCGTTAGTACGGGACAAACAAGTCGAATACGCCTAACGCCGCAGTCCAACAGCAGCCAAATGTGGGTAGTCTGGTCTCACCTGTCTTGTGCGGCGGACGATCAGCTGAGCTTGCGCTCAGAGCTGCTGAGCAGGTAGAGGGCGCGTTGCGTAACCACACCGATCCGCCCGCGCTCTCCCCTCCGCGCGGCGGCCCCACGACAGACGCCGCCGCCGGCGCCCGCCCGGTTAAGTATAGCCGGCCCGGCCGCGGCCGGCCGCGAATCAGCTGACTCCCAGCCGGTCGATGGCCGCGTCGACCAATCGGCGTCGAGCAGCGCGGCCCCCTCTCCTCTCCCCTCCCCCGCCCGACCTGGTCACCGACAGTCTTGCGACCCGACTCCTGCTTGGCTCGGGCGCTGATCACAATCAACACTTGTCTGATGCAACCATACCAAGGTCTTCCGGTGGTTGCACACGTAGACGGGAGGGGTGGGGTACGCGTGGAGCACACGTGGACGGGAGGGGTGGGGTACACATGGAGCACACGTGGACGGGAGGAGTACGCTTAGTCATGCAGTCGAATAAGCCGTACCGACAATTATTCATAGATCGCTTCGCCACATCCGTTCGAAGACCGGCAACCGTATTTAAATACCAATATCCTATGTGCAAAACCATTACAGCTGTTGCGCAATTTTACGCCGCAGCGGTGCACTGACGCACCTGCTATATTAGCGTATTGCACTGTGCACACAACCCACCTTATTGGCCATACCACACTTGCGCAACAATTCAGAAAAATTGCACTCCCAGAACGCCCACCACACACTGGAATTTCTCGTAGCCCCGACGTCCACACGGCATAAGAGCGCAGTGCACAATGGGCACACGTTCACATGGTCACACATGCCATGCACGATTTCATCACATTGGAATTAAAGTGTTTTTAATTTGGACGCCGTAACTTTGCAGCCTGCCGTTGCGGGCGGCCCATCAGCATTGAGTGCGGCGCTGTCGAAGGGCTGACCAAATTAAAATGGATGACGTAACCGGGCGTGTGTGCTGTCGTGAAAGCTGATGTCGTGAAGCTTTTGCAGGGCAAACGAACACACAAAGTGCGTTCAGGTACGAACGCACTGTGCGTGTTCGCACCTGCATTAGGACAAACCTGCACACAGCGCAGAGGTGCGCACCTCTTCGCGTACGATTACTACTAGTATTCGTCCCGTGCCGCCGAAAGCCTGGCATCCCGCGGTGGGCCTGCTGTCTGCAGGTATCAGTGCTCCGTGAATGGGTGATTTGAAGAAAAAAACGTCATGTCGGCAGTTGGCCGATACGCAATTTACATTGCAGGCTGACAGTGTCTCCGCTGCCAGGCTGACAGTGCCTCCGCTGTCAGGCTGACAGTGTCTCCGCTGTCAGGCTGAAAGTTCCTCCGCTGTCAGGCCGAAGGTGCCTTCGCAATAACATTGCATGTACACAGTCAGTCCCGCCGCGCACGACTAAAATTATTCTACGTTGGACGCCATAGCTTTCTAAATTGTCGCTGCGACCAGTCCGCCGGCATGGAGGACGTTGCCATGTGTTCGATCAAAAACTGGATGCCACGGTCGGACAAGTATGTTAGTGGCAGCTGATAGTCCTACAGCACCACTATCGCGTGCACACAATCGCAATCTTTGCGCGCGATTATAGGTATTTGTCCCGGGTCGCCGAACGCCGGTCATCACGCTACGGACAGGCCGGCCCCAGGCAGCAATGCGCCGTCGGTGAGTGATTTGTCTAAAAGATGTCATGTCAGTCGATGCAGGACTTAGATTGCGGACTGATAGTGATGCCACAATGGCGTGATGTGAACATGATCGCACTCCACACAAGACTAAATATTTTATTTATTGAACGCCGTAACTTTGCAGATGTCCGCTCTGGCCGGCCCACCAGCCTTCCGTAAGACCTTATGGGCGGTGGCCCGAATAAACCTTAATCAAACAAGTGAGTTAAAATGTCGGCTGATACCTCTACACGAGCCCAATTCATTGCACGCAGTCGCACTCTTCGCGCGCAATTGTACTTGTTCACGGGCAGCCGAATGCCGGCCATTACGTGCGAGTGGGCCGGTCGCAGTTGGTTCATTCCACTGCTCAAGCAGGCATAGGTCCATTTCAGCAAGGCATCCGCTTCAAATTTGATCGGGAAATTTTAGGGAAAATATATAACCGAAACAAAATTTTACAAGCTTTAGAGCCATACGGCTTACAAACAATGAACTATGAGTGGTGAGAATACGCAATGATGTTACCAACTCCACTTTTCAACATGCGAAGCAGCTTACAGCGTGTAATATTTTGGACAATTATATCGGAAATATAGATTCATGTATTCAGCTCAACTGTGGGTCAATATAACATTCATCGTCGCTGTTATTGGGACTTTACGACGCACTAAGCTGCTAAATCTATATGGTGTCGCCTGCCTCTCACCTTGGCAGCAATGGCGGGCACCCCAGGGAGTAAAAGCCCGTATCTCTGGTCTTCCAAAGCCCTAGTAGTTTACGCACACGCGTTTAAAACAAACACAGAGCTTGGCTTACGCAGACGCGTTAACCACCACACTTTCGCCGACATTTAAAGTGAATAAGGTACCGTAGCTTCACCTTTGCCGAAATTTTCTTTTAAAACATAGTGCATTCAATCGTTATCATAGACCGACACGCAATCGAAGACCGTTCTTTTGTTCAGACGAATGGATCTCTTCTAGATCGTCCCAAATCGAATTTGAGCATGGGCGGATCATACACGGCATGAGCTGATCGGCCGGTATCGGGTGATAGGCGAGATCGGCTCACTCCGTTGGGAACCCTGACCGTGACATCGAAATCGACCGGGACTCCGGGACCGGAACAACATACAAATGAAGAAGGCATTTGATCGACCTTGCGTAGCTACAATTCATCCGAGTTACGTAGTTAGAGACAAACTGTTTTTCAATGACGGCCATACATGTGCAGCCATATATCATCAGTTACAAAGTCGTCGGTTATAACGAGCTATGTCACTGATCACCTGTCCATCTCGATTGATGTAAATACCAAAAGTAAAACAAGGATATCCAACTCCTTGGCCGTTAATTCTACACCGTGGGGTTTGTATAATTAAGTCGTTTCAATGCATTGCGCTGTTTTATCCATCATAGATTTGTTTGGTTGTTCGAGCAGTTACACGGGTTGATACAACTGCAACTGAAACGTGCGTCCCCAGGACTGATGACGACTGTAGCTGCGTATTCCCTTCAGTGTTCGTGCGTGTTTTGAACTTGAATTTGAAGTGTTGCTCCATTTTGCGGATTTTATCAGCTGTCACAAAGATGAAAATATGCTTACGAATATGGGTGAAACAGCAAGGTGAAACCACGTTAATTGCAAAGAAAACGCAGGATTATTCGTAGAACGATAGTGAACATGCATATGCATGACGGGTAAGCTATGAGTGAAACACACAAATCTGTGCTTCTCCGTGCTGTGCTCCGTAGAGCATTTCTTTAACTGCACCAATCATTGATCTGTTCACCGACCAACAATGCGATCAGCGCAGCTGCAAAACATCTCGTGACGTCAGAATTTGATGTTGTTCTCGGCATTGTATATTTACATATCCTGTCAGGTGTTTAACAGTTCCTAAACTTCGGTGCAAGTGTTTAACTGCGCCCCTTCCCCACCTCGCTGCATGGGACCTTTCCATTAAGCGTCGATAGGAGATGCAAAATATTCCTAAGACCAAAATACTCAGGAGGGTGACCCATGTTTGGGAACTTTAATTTGTTTTACACTTGATTGGGCACCAACAGCCAAATCTTTGGACTTGATGTAGACATGGATGAATTTTTTAGCACTTTTTCCCTGCGTGTGTATACTGCACCTGAACTTTCACTGATAGATCTGGGAATTTTCACTTCCAGCAATTTCTCTTGATAAGTGTCAACAGTTTTGCGTAATCTCCCGCTTGTTGCTTTGTGCCTCATGTCAAATGCCTCTACAAATGTCCTCTGTTTCGCACCGCAGTTATGCACATTTGTAACAACTTAACGAGCTGCAGTTCTTCTCCGCGATGATGGCAACTGGTTTGCACCACACTCGAAGTAACACTGCTACGCCGCACAAACACGTTTTTTTCAACTGATTTCATCCGATCGGTTTTTGGACTAGTCCTTGGAGGCACCTGCTAAGGGTGCCAAACATGTAAGTTTTCATTTTTCCGACCTCCCGGCCACCCAGCTGTATACACACGGAGCCTCTTTTGGCCCTGCCTGAGTTTCCTCGAACCCGGCGTCGAAGTGCATGCATGCTTCACCACCACGCGTGACGTTGCAGGCGTGCTATGCCAGCGCACAAGGCAACATTGTCCCGGTTCAAGACCAAATTGAATGCAATAACGTACCTTCGAACCAGTTATTCTTTTCACGTTAATCTCCCGCTTAACTATCTCCCGCACACTATAAAATCAAATTCACTAAACAAGTTTAGGTTTGGTCGATAAGGTTTAACGGGTAAGATTTTGCAGGTAAGATATGACAAAGGAACACATACATATAGGTTGCTTTGGACCTAATTCATTCATTCATTTCGGGCAGCTTCTCTCAATCTCACACACTTATTGAGCAAGGTACCACATTGAAAACGCATGAGCCATGACACAAAAATTGTTGGTTTCCCTGCGTAAGCTGTGCGAAAATCAGTCGGACTCCAGCAGTGCCATTTCTAGTGGTGGGGCTCTGATAAGGTCTGAATTTGTACTGCACGTGCATTTTAACACTGGAATTCCCTGCGTTTAAACGCCGATCATTTTTTGGGCTCTTGTGGTCCTATGGCTCACCATACTTCGTTAAAGTGAACGAAGCCCCGCTCTCGTGCTGCTCCGAAGAGCCTAAACCCCAACTTTACCACTCTCACGCTGTACCTCATCATCGTCAGCATCATCACTTGAAACGAGCATATGCGGAAAGCCTGCGTTAATGGTCCCATCTCCCTCTGGCAGAATCTGCTGCTGCATGCAACACGCTGGTGGCTCCGAGACCATGGCGTACAGCTCATGATCAATTGCCGCGTCGTTCCAGGCGTTCCCCACATCGCGTCAGCACGTCTCTCCAAGTAGGACTCCGCCACACGCAGCCAGCGATAGGCGGAGAAGTGACTGGTTAGTCGACCATGCATGG